CAATCCGCTTGCCTCAGCCTCTCAAAGCGCCGGGATTATATGCATAAGCCACCGAGCCCGGCCCCGATTATGACTGTCTCCTACTGCTAGTTCCATGGAGGGAAAGGACCATATATACATTTCATTCCATTCTGTTCCTTGTTTTAGCACAGTTCCTGGCACATAGCTGGTGCTCATTAAATGTTCATTGCATGACTAATTGACCGATGAAATAAATGAAGGTAGAAGCTCTTTATGAAGCTGCCTGTGCTGGATCCAAGGCCATTAACATCTGTTGCAAATGGAAGTTGTTAATAAGACTCCACAAGTCAGTGGAAATGTTTCTGTGTGTTATGAGATTATCTCTCTTTTTTTTTTTTGAGACAGGGTCTCACTCTGTTGCCCAGGCTGGGGTGCAGTGGCGAGATCTCAGTTCGCTGTAGCCTTGTTCTCCCAGGCTCAGGTGATTCTGCCACCTCAGCCTCCCAGGTAGCTAGAACCACAGGCGCATGCCACCACACCCAGATCATTTTTTTGTATTTTTAGTAGAGACAGGGTTTCTCCATGTTGTCCAGGCTGGTGTGAAACATGGACTCAAGCAATCCACCCACTTCGGCCTTCAAAGTGCTGGGATTACAGGCGTGAGCCACTATGCCTGGTTTTTTTTTTTTTTTAATTAACTTTTAAAAATTTTAAATTTGAGACAGGGTCTTGCTATGTTGGCCCGGATAGTCTCAAACTCCTGGCCTCAAACAGTCCTCCCACCTCAGCCTCCCAAAGTGCTGGGATTATAGGTCTGAGCCACTGCACCCAGCCACAAGATTCTCTTGAAACCACAAATTTACCACACTTTCTAGATGTTTCCTCTCCCTCCTATGCATGATATAGTTAGCTACTGTCTTTCTGATAGGAAGGGGTACCAGTCAGGTTATGCTGGACTATGATAATAAAGAAACCCCCAGATCTCAGCGACTTAACAACGCAAGGCTTATTTCTCATTGGTGCCAAGTCCAGCATGAATTGGGCCGCTGTTCAGGACAGCTCCTTTCTGTGGCGGCCCAGCGGTCCAGGCTCTGCCATCTCAACACGTGGTCTCCACGGTTGCTACTAAAGGGAATGAGAAAGTGTGGATAACTCACATTCACTTGCAACCCGGAAGCAACATGTGACACTTCTCAGAGCCCTTGGGCCAGAGCTAGTCACATGTTCCTGTGGAACTGCAAGGAGCCTGGGAGGTGCGGTTCCCCCTGGTACCCAGGAGGGAGAGGAGAACCAGCTCTGGCTGAGCCTTAAGTGTCTCTGCTACAGTCTGTTCTGCTGGTCTCCGCGTCCCACATTGGATTCACTCTTCTTCCTACACACAACACGCACCATAAAACCCCTTTCCAAGAGAGAAAACCCAGAGTGATGCGCAGCTCCTGCGTCCAGCCAGGGTCTAATGGGTTGCCCTGGGGTCTCTTTATGAGGTCTAGAGGTGGCCCTTTTTGGTCCATAGACCAAAAGGAATTTTAAAAAGTGACCTGTTGGGTGTGGTGGCTCACACCTGTAATCCCAGCACTTTGGGAGGCCAAGGCAGGTGGATCACCTGAGGACAGGAGTTTGAGACCAGCCTGGCCAACATGGAGAAATCCTGTCTCTACTAAAAAGTGCAAAATTTAGTCAGGCATGGTGGTGCACACCTGTAATCCTAGCTACTAGCAAGGCTGAGGCAGGAGAATCGCTTGAGCCTGGGAGGCAGAGGTTGCAGTGAGCCGAGATCGCGCCACTGCACTCCAGTCTGGGTGACAGAGCAAGACTCTAACTAAAAAAAAAAAAAAGTTACCTGTTCCCCACTCCCCACGCCGTACACAGAGGTAGAGTAGGGGCAAGGGCAGGGGCAGGAAAACCAGAGTAAGGGCACCCCAGGAAGTGGGTGCTGGGGCTGCTGGGCAGACCTTGCGGAGGATAGGGAAGTTTCTGCCACTGCTGTCTGGAAGGAACTCCCTTCGTCGCTGCCTCAGGACTCCCTCATTTGAGGCTTTTTCCCTACCTTACCCTCCTGGATCGCATCTGAAGCAGGAATTGTGTGCTCCACCCTCCTTGAGGGTTGTGTAGATTTCTCAGCCTAGTTCCTGCCCATGGAAGTTTTAAGTGTCAAATAGTCACAGTCTTTTTAAAGACCAGGCTCATGGCCAGACACGGTGGCTCATGCCTGTTGTTCCAGCGACTTGGGAGGCTGAGGCGGGAGGATCTATTGAGCCCAGGAGGTTGAGGCCACAGTGAGCTATGGCTGCGCCGCTGCATCCCATCTTGGTGACAGAGCAAGACCTTTTCTCATTTCTTTTTTCTGAGATGGAATATTGCTCTTGTTGGCCAGGCTGGAGTGCAATGGCACAATCTCAGCTCACCTCAACCTCTACTTCCTGGGTTCAAGTGATTCTCCTGCCTCAGACTCCCAAATAGCTGGGATTATAGGCGTGCGCCACCATGCCCAGCTAATTTTGTATTTTTAGTAGAGATGGGATTTCTCAATGTTGGTCAAGGTAGTCTCGAACTCCTGACCTCTGGTGATCTGCCTGCCTTGGCCTCCCAAAGTGCTGGGATTACAGGCGTGAGCCACCACGCCTATCCAGCAAGACCCTTTCACACATACACACACACACACACACACACACACACACACACACACACACAAAAGGCTCATGGTGTTTTGGGCATGACTGTTTTCTTAAAATTCCAGTAGGCCTCTCATCTGTGTGCTTCCAGTGAGTTTCACATGCCTGGATGTGACAGTTAATTTGTGTGGGTTACTGGGTACTCGGGTATGTGATCGAGTATTCTTCTGGGTGTTTCTCTGAGGATGCTTTTGGGAGAAATTGACATTTAAATTGGTAGACTGAGTGAAGTGGACTGTCCCCCTCACAGGGGTGGACTTCACGTAATCAGCTGAAGGCCTGAATACAACAAAAAGCCTTATCCTCTCCTGAGTGAAAGGAAATTCTTTCTGCCTGGCTGCCTTCAAACTGGGGCGCGGGCTTTTCTCCTGACTTGTATGGCAACATCGGCTCTTCCTGAGTCTCAAGCCTTCTGGCCTTGGGACAGGAACTACGTCAGCTCTCTTGTTTCTCAGCCCTCTGGACTTACTCTGGAACTAAGCCATTGGCTTTCCTGGGTCTTCAGCTTGCCAGCCAACTCATCCTGAAGATCTTGGGACCCGCCAGCCTTCCTAATTATGTGGCCCAATTCCTTTTTTTTTTTTTTTTTTTTGAGATGGGGTCTTGCTCTGTTGCCCAGGCTGGAGTGCAATGGCACGTTTATGGCTCACTGCAGCCTCAACCTCCAGGGCTTGAGTGATCCTCCTACCTCAGCCTCCCAAGTAGCTGGGACTACTGGCATGTGCCACCGTGCCCAACTAATTTAAGACAAATTTTTCGTAGAGATGGACTCTCACTGTGTTGCTCAGGCTGGTCTTGAACTCAACTCAAGCAATCCTCTGTTTCAGCCTCCCAAAGTGCTGGGATTACAGGCGTCCCTGGCCCAGCCGGAGCCAATTCCCTGTAATAAATCTGTCTCTCTCTGTCTCTCGTGTGTGTGCACGTTCTGTTTCACTGGAGAATGCTGACTAATACAGAATCACATCCTAATTTACTTCCCAAGAAGTTCTCAAATCTTCATTTCTTTGCTTGTGCCGCAGTAGCAAACAAAACCCGAGCCTCAGAGGCTTAATGCAGCAAGGTTTATCCCCATGTCACATCCCAGTGCGCTGCAGAAGAAGCAGCTCCGGGGCCGCTGACTCCATGCAGTGACTCAGAGATCCAGCCTGCTTCCATCTCTTGATTCTTCCATCCCAAGTGTGATTTCTACCCACAGAGAATGGAAAACTTACACCCACCCCTAAGTACTCAGACTGGGAGTGGCACTGCTCAATTCCACCCACAGAACCAGCCAGGTGGCCCTCATCTAACTGCAAGGAAGGCAGAAAAATGTAATGATAATCATAAACATTTCTTGAGTGCTTTCTCTGTGCCAGGCTGTGTGCTAAGCATGTAAATATTGTCTTTTCCGTATTCCAAGCCTAAGTCTCTTAAAGCTGTACTGTGACCTCACCATATAGCGACAGAAACAGGCTCAGAGAAGGAAGTGGTCTGGGGCACATACCTCATAAAGGCAGGGCTGCAGATTTGAACCCGGGTCTCTGTGCATTGGAAACCCACCCCTCGACCCCTGTCCTGGTTTCCTGCTGATCTCCGCCGAGAATACCGTCATTCCGTCTGAGGATTGGGGTTGGCTTCTTATTTTTTGCTCCATCTCATTTCGTCTTCCCCAGGAGTCATGAATTTTTAAATCTTGTGTGAGATCAACAAGTCCACCCAGAGGAGACAGTAAAGAACAGAACAGGGAGGAACAGAACAGCCATCAAATACGAAGGGTAGAGTCTTCCAGGAAATACCCACCAAGCGGGAAGCTAACCACAAGTGAGGCCAGGATCGTGGGAGCGGGGAGGGAGAGCAATCTGATCGTCAGGGGAATCATTTTCTTTTAGGAAAGAGAGAGGGAGATGGGACTTAGCCATTAGACGCGGGCTATTTCAGTTCCTGGTAATGACACAGCTCAGTGAATAGAGCCCTCAAAGCACTTTCGGAAGGTGGGCTCCAAGCCTGGGCAGCTCTCCTGCCTTAATCGCTGCAAGTCACAGAGCAGAGAAGCTGGAAATGGGCAAAATCTATGACAGCGAGGCTTGCCTGTGGGCCGCTCCCTGGACCCAACCTGTGACCCATGGTCATTACGTCACCCACCACCCCTCGGTGCCACTGTGCAGGTGCTACGCTGAAGACCCTTCTTTCAGTTCATTCTCACAACAGCCCAGTGCGTGGTGGCTCACGCCTGTAATCCCAGCATTTTGGGAGACTAAGGCAAGAAGAATTGCTTGAACCTGGCAGGCGGAGGTTGTAGTGAGCCGAGATCCCACCACTACACTCCAGCCCGGGTGACAGAGCAAGACTCTGTCTCAAAAAACAAAAACAAAAACAAAAAAAGCAAGGACAGAGTCAGTTCCACGGTAGAGGTGACCTGACTGAGGCTCATTTTGCAGGCGTTAAAATTGTTCTCCCAGTTTTCAGTCATGTCCGAACAAATCAGAGTCCCTGTGACTGGAGCAGCTGGTCAGATTGCATATTCATTGCTGTACAGTATTGGAAATGGATCTGTCTTTGGTAAAGACCAGCCTGTAATTCTTATGCTGTTGGATACCACCCCCATGATGGGTGTCCTGGATGGTGTCCTAATGGAACTTCAAGACTGTGCCCTTCCCCTCCTGAAAGATGTCATCGCAACAGATAAAGAAGAGGTTGCCTTCAAAGACCTGGATGTGGCCATTCTCGTAGGCTCCATGCCAAGAAGGGAGGGCATGGAGAGAAAAGATTTACTGAAAGCAAACGTGAAAATCTTCAAATCCCAGGGTGCAGCCTTGGATAAATACGCAAAGAAGTCAGTTAAGGTTATTGTTGTGGGTAATCCAGCCAATACCAACTGCCTGACTGCCTCCAAGTCAGCTCCATCCATCCCCAAGGAGAACTTCAGTTGCTTGACCCGTTTGGATCACAACCGAGCTAAAGCTCAAATTGCTCTTAAACTTGGTGTGACTGCTAATGATGTAAAGAATGTCATTATCTGGGGAAACCGTTCCTCAACTCAGTATCCAGATGTCAACCATGCCAAGGTGAAATTGCAAGGAAAGGAAGTTGGTGTTTATGAAGCTCTGAAAGATGACAACTGGCTCAAGGGAGAATTTGTCACAGGAGAGTTTGTGTCCATGGGTGTTATCTCTGATGGCAATTCCTATGGTGTTCCTGATGATCTGCTCTACTCATTCCCTGTTGTAATCAAGAATAAGACCTGGAAGTTCGTTGAAGGTCTCCCTATTAATGATTTCTCACGTGAGAAGATGGATCTTACTGCAAAGGAGCTGACAGAAGAAAAAGAAACTGCTTTTGAATTTCTTTCCTCTGCCTGACTAGACAATAATGTTACTAACTGCCTCAAAGCTGAAGAATCTAAATGTCGTCTTTGACTCAAGTACCAAATGATAATAATGCTATACTTAAATAAATTGTGAAAAACAACACATTTTAAAAATTATGTGCTTCTTGGTACAGGTTTGTGAATGACAATTTATCATCATGCTGTTACTGTGCATTCTAAATAAATATATATTCAAATGAAAAAAAAAAAAAAAAAAAAAGCAAGGACAGTGAGGTGCGGGGAGATGGAGCCTGTATCCCCTGGCCGGTCTGTGAAGGAGCTGGGATCCGAACCAGTCAGCAGAGCCCCAAAGCCTTAACCTACACTAGGCCACTCAGACCTAGCAGCTTTTGGACTCCTTTTCCCAACTCAGTTACCAAAACACCCTTGAAGCAGCTGAGCCCATGAAGCGGGGCAGCCCCCACCCCCAGGACTAGATAAAAAGGTGGTCGCACAAATCCAGGCCTCCCCACTCTTCCCGATTGCAGGGAAGACAGGGCCCCATGGGCTTGGCGTCCTCCCGTAAGCTCTTCTCTGCCATGATCCCCTTTGTGCTGCCCCAGCTTCAACTGCTACCCTGAAAGGGTCACTTGGAGCAGCTGAGCTTAGGGCACCTCAACTGCGTGAGCTTTCTTGGGGGCTCAGAAGCACCTGGGTTGGGAACGGTGCTCTGGTGGGCAGGATGAGGGCTTCAGTGAGCTCTGCTGTCCTTGTGGCCACCTTGGAGTCTGGCTTGGAAGAAACTCCCTGTGCAGGTCCAGCCAGCCCAGAGGCCAGGCTGAATGTGCGCTGCCATGAGACAGACTCCCCTCTATGCCCCCCGTAATACGGCAGAGGGGAAGCACCTTGGAAGGGGGTAGGCTGGTGTCCTGCTATTTCACAGACAGATGGTGGGAGAGGGGTGCAGGGGGAGGGGACCTGGAGCCAGCCATCACTTCAGTATATGAAGACAGAGCTCCAAGTCCTGCAGGCCGAACAAACAACACATCTCAGACTGGAGACAAGCGAGCCAAACCTCCTATCTGGCTGGCTCCACCCCGTCTTTTTGCTCGAAGCTGGATCAGAGGGAGGCAGTTAATTAAGAAAGGTCACAAAGCGTTATCTGTGCCAGAGCCAGATCTCAAAGCCAAGTCAAAAGAGGCTCAGAAAGGGGCAGGGATGTGACCTCAGTTCACCTGAAGCCAAGAAACATTACTCTAGGCTTGTCCCAGCCTCCAGCTTGGGAATTTCGAAAGTAGGAGTATAATTTCCCTCTCCCTGCCGCCCCCAGCCTCCTGGGCTGCGAGCGCTCAGCGCTCTTAGCTGCATTCCAGGGGTCTGTTTCCCATTTCTCAATCATCTTAGCTGATTTGAACAATTTTAGGCCTTTCTTCTATGAATTTTCCACCCAGCAGTGCCCAGCACAAACTGAGGACCATGAGAGGGATGAACTTTTTTTTTTTTTTGAGATGGAGTCTTACTCTCCCATCCAGGCTGGAGCGCAGTGGTGCGATCTCAGCTCATCGCAACCTCCACCTCCCGGGTTCAAGTGTCTCTCCTACCTCAGCCTCCCAAGTAGCTAGGATTACAGGCATGTGCCACCACGCCCGGCTAGTTTTATATTTTTAGTAGAGACAGGGTTTCTCCATGTTGGTCAGGCTGGTCTCAAACTCCTGACCTTAGGTGATCTGCCCACTTTGACCTCTCAAAGTGCTAGGATTACAGGCGTGAGCCACGTCATCCAGCCTTGATTAACTTTTTAAAAGGATTTTTAAGCCCAGCACGGTGGCTAACACCTATAATCCCAGCACTTTGGGAGGCTGAGGCAGGAGGATCCCTCAAAGCCAGGAATTTGAGACCAGCCTGGGCAACAAAGCAAGACCCTGTCTTTATAAATAATTTTTCTAATCTTTATTTTTTAATTTTTTTCTTTATAGAGGTAATCAAGTTGAGAAGAAATTTAAAAAGACAGTCATCGGAGGTCAGATTTTGAAAATAGGTCAGAGAACCTCTAGCTCAACCTTTGGGGCAATATCAAAGTGGTCAGCAGCATGACCTGTGAAGCCAGGATGTCTGGGTCCAAATAATGGCTTCTCCCCTCACTAGCTGTGTGAACTTGGACAAGTTATGCAGACTCTCTGTGTCTGAGTTTGTTCATAATAAAATGGAGGAGCCGATACCACCCACCATGTAGGAATGCGATGAAGTGTAGTTGTGCTAATCATGGGAAGTGCTTGGAAGCAGTGCCTGGTACCTAACACACCGGTGAAAGTTTTCTATTATTGTCATCCTGTCAAGCGTCTGCTTGAATGCCTCCTGGGATGGGGAACTCACTCTCCCCAGGGCAGCGTTTTCCCCTATTGGATTGTTTAGCGTGTTAGGACTCTTTTCTATCCATTACACTGAAGTATGCCAACCTGTCTCTTCCCTACAAGAGCCCTGGCTTCCCTCTGAGGGCAGCCATAAAGACCCATGTCAACCAAAGCCAAACAACACACACTTAGTGGTATGTGTCTCATTCACTTGAGTTAATCCTCCTTCGGGGAACTGCAGCCCACACAGCCCAGCACACGAGTGCAGACATCTGTCTCTGTTCAGGACTCAGTAGTCAGTGGTGCTGTGCTCTGGCCTCAGAAGCTTGTTAGGGCCTACCCCATCCATCCCAGCTAAGGAGCTCTATGGGCTGAGGCTCAGCATGTCCCCTCACTGGGTCCTCTCTGCTAACCCAGTGTATCTGTAGCCTCTACCTTCTTACAGGAGGGAAACAGGGGAATCTGTTTTTTTGTTGTTGTTATTGTTTTGTTACTGTTTTTGTTTTTGTTTTTTTTTGAGATGGAGTCTCGCTCTGTCACCCAGGCTGGAGTGCAGTGGCATAATCTCGGCTCACTGCAACCTCCGCCTCCCAGGTTCAAGCAGTTCTCCCTGCCTCAGCCTTCCGAGTAGCTGGGATTACGGGCACCTGCCACCATGCCCAGCTACTTTTTGTATTCTTAGTAGAGACCGGGTTTTGCCATGTTGGCCAGGCCGGTCTCAAACTCCTGTCCTTAGGTGATCCGCCTGCCTCAGCCTATAATCCCAAAGTGCTGGATTAGAGGTGTGAGCCACCGAACTGGCCGGAAACAGGGGAATCTTACTGCCTAGGACTGGGAAGGGCTAGAAAGGAGGAGGCAGTTGCCCATCTGGCCAGGGCAGTCCATTCCTTTGGAAAATCATCGAGCTTCACCAAGGGCTAAGAGCCCAGTGCTACTGTCCCAGCGCTTTCTGGAAAATTGGCTGGTTTGTTCCAAAGGGCGGGGCATAGATTCCAGGGTCAGAGCTGAGTTTGAATCCTAACTCCACCCCTCCCTGTCTGCGAGCCCTCAAGCAGCTTCCTCATATGTAAAATGGGCACAATTACAGTAGTTCTCATCATAGGGCTGGGAGGGAAAAGCGATGAGGTGACTCGTAGCTCAGTTCTGGCACAAGAAAGTGCTTGATAAATGGGGATGGATATGGGAAAGGAGTGGCGTTGGATAAGGCAGGCCTAGATTTTCCAATATGAAAGGACTTTTAGTCTGTTCCTTCATTTTGCAGACAGAAGGACGGAGGTTCACATGACAGGTCCAAAAGTCACACTGCGGTTGGGTCATCTGGCACCTGGGCTCCTGCTCCTTGTGGACTCCAGCGCTTGCCCTCCCGGGACACTCCTTACCCAGACCGGCCCCTTCTGTCCTGGAGGGAGGGGAGAGTGAGGCTTGGTGGGGGCCTGTGGCCAGGGCGACGGAGCTGCTCTGTCCCCCACTCCTCGGACCGGCCCCCAACTCTTAGGGGATGCACCTGCGGCATCTCCTGTAGTTACGAGTTATGGCCGCTGGGTGTCGCCACACAGCAAAAAACCCACAGGCCGTCGGGAGGACAGGACCTAATGGGAGCTCTGACGAGACAGCGCCTCCAGATCCTGATCGCCAACCCCTGAATTCCTGCCCAGGTCGTTGGTCCGCTACAGACTACCTGCCAGGTGCTGGATCCACACTCTCGCTAAACCTGCCAGCGGCGCTGAGGTGGGTGCAGTCACATCCCTTGTGAAGATGGGGATATGGGGGCGTGAAGAGGATAAGTATCTCATCAGAGGTGACAGATGGGATTTGAACCACACTCTTACACCTACTGCGGCTTCTTGGCCCCACAGTAACGGTACCTGGTTCACAGAGTAGTTTGAGGGATTATACGACGTAGTGTGTGTTAAAGGGCTTGGCACAGATCTAGCTGCAGCGGAACATAATAAACATTGATTGACCCAGAGGCAGAAGAGCGGGATCCAGATCCACCCACGTTTGAATCTCAACACGGCTATTTTCTTAATGCGAGATCTCTGGAGTCAAGCCGCTCTTGTTCCCCCGGCGAAAATGGGGATAATCATAGATACCTGAAGAGCCGCTCAGTGGATGGAGGTAGAGGATGTAAAGTGTCTGCTGAGAAGTGGGTACTTAATGGAACTGAGTGTTCGGGATTATCTTTTATTTTATGTCATGTAGACGGCAACTCTTTCTGGGCCTGTGGAGGAGGCCGGAGGTCAGGGCTGGAGCCCTGGGGCGGGGCCTTGCACAGGCAGCTCCTGGCCCTCCCCTCAGTGGGCCCTGGCCTAAAAGGGCTCAGAAGCCTGGGGACGCTGTTGCTAGGCGCCAGTTGCTAGGTTACATACACACTGTTTCTCCTACATGGCCACCTCCAGGAGTGCTGGCTTCTCCGGAGCAGCTCTGCCACCTGCAGCCTCTCCCTGACCTCAGAGCCTCTGCAGAGGAAAGGTGAGGGTGGGGCCGCTGTGGTTGGGCCTCAGGGAGAGCCCAGCCAACTCCCAGGGCAGGCAGGCAAGGTTAGAAGCAGGCAAGGCCAGGGGAGCTGAGGGAGAGAGAGGAGCGGGGGGCTGGGAGTGAGCATCCCAGCCTGACTTCTTGGGTGGGGGGCCAAGAATTCCCCAGGCAAGAGGTTGTCAGCTCATTCATTCTGAGAGGTCCGTCTGTAAAGTTCAGGTCGGGGGCAGGGAGTCAAATACCCTAGGTCTTAATCCTGGCACTATCACCCATTATGAGCAAATTCTTTATCATTTGGAACCTCACTGCCCTGGCAGTAAATGGGGACAGGAAGAGTTAATAATAAGGTGTGAAAGCCGGACTCTGGCTCACGCCTATAATCCCAGCACTTTGGGAGGCTGAGTCGCTTGGATCAGAAGGTCAGGAGTTCGAGATCAGCCTGGCCAATATGGTGAAACCCCGTCTCTATTAAAAATACAAAAATTAGCTGGGCGCAGTGGTACGCACCTGTAATCCCAGCTACTCGGGAGGCTGAGGCAGGAGAATTGCTTGAACCCTGGGGGCAGAGATGCAGTGAGCCGAGATCGCGCCACTGCACTCCAGCCTGGGTGACAGAGCAAGACTCCATTGAAAATAAATAAATAAATAAGGTGTGGAAAGTGAAATGAGACAGGAGGACTCTTAGGATAAGTGTGGATGATCAGTTTCGTCTTCAGTTTAGGGATGTGGGAGCAGAACCAGAGGGACAGAGGCCTGGGAGAAGGGGCCAGCTGCGTGGGATGTGGGGGGCAGATCTTCACCCCTTTGGGCTTCTGAGCCAGACTTGGGACCCACAAGGCTCCCCGTGCTTCCTTTCCAGGCCCCCTGGGGCCCTGCCCCACGGCATCATGATGGGGAAACTCCCCCTGGGGGCCGTCTCCCCTTATGTGAAGATGAGTTCGGGGGGCTCCACAGACCCCCTGAAATTCTATGCCACCAGCTACTGCACAGCCTATGGTGAGGGCACCTATGTGCAGGAGCCTGCCCCGGGCTGGGGCAGGAAGGGAGGGGCTCTTTTTGAGGGAGGAGGACCCCCTCTGGCTTTCACACTGTAGCACAAGACCATCCTCTGAATCCCTCTGTCCCTGAGCCCTGTCTGGTGGCTCCCTTCTCTGATTCTGTCCCTGCAGTTCTGTCACTGTGATTTGGCCACACTGAGCTTGTCCCTAGCCCACCCACTCCATTTCCTGCCACACAGTCCTGAAAGGCCAGGCTTTCAAGGCTCCGGCCCGTGGCTCTGAGCCCTCCCCTGTCACTGTGATCCCCGGACCCTTAGGAGGACATGGGCCCTGCCTGGGAAGCCCTGCCTGTTTTTGACCCTGGGGCCTGTCTCTCGCAGGTCGGGAGGATTTCAAGCCCCGGGTAGGCAGTCACACAGGCACCGGCTACAAATCAAATTTCCGGCCCATGGTCTCATGCCAAGCCAGCCTGGAGGACTTAGACAACCCGGCCATGGGGTACAGTCCCAGCCCCTGCCCTGCTCATCAGACCAACTCCTGGCTTTGTGGATGGGGACCCGGAGCCTTGCCTGGCATCCTGGGTGGCTCAGGGCACGGAGGACCCCTGAGCCATCTGTGGGAGGGTGCAGGGCGGAGGGAAGCTCCTGGACAGGGGACCTCTAGCTCAGCCTAACCCTCAGGGAACAAGCCCGGGACCATTTCCAGTCCACGAGCAGCCAGAGTTACCGCCCCCTGGAGGTGCCAGATGGCAAGCAGGCCCTGCCCTGGAGCATGTACCAGACCAGCTCAGGCTATGGGCGGGAGCAGCACTGTGCGGGCCCCCCGACCAAGGAGGTCAGTGCTGGGCCAGGGCTGGGAAAGTGGAACCCTAGGGTGGGGTGGGGCTGGGGCTGCACTGCCAACAGTTGGTCAAGGTGGAGGTGACAGGGCTTGGAGCAGCTGCATTGTAGGAATGGCATCCACTCCTCTTTCTCCCCTCTGTCCTCATCCTTATCCCCACCCTCCCCACCACCTCCATTGCCTGCCCCAGCCCTAGCCCCACCATGACCTCCACCTCCATTTCCATCCCCATGCCTGCCCCCATTCCCATGACCCCCACACTCCTGTGCACACCTGCGAGCCCCATGGCCGTCCCTACCACCACCACTGCCCTCCACCGTTGACATCATTACCCCTACCTTTTATCTTTTCCATTTCTTTTTTTTTTTTGAGATGGAGTCTTACACTGTCACCCAGGCTAGAGTGGAATGGCGCAATCTTGGCTCACGGCAACCTCTGCCTCCTGGGTTCAAGCAATTCTTCTGCCTCAGCCTCCCTTGCCATCATGCTTAGCTAAGTTTCGTATTTTTGTAGAGACAGGGTTTCATCACATTGGCCAGGCTGGTCTTGAACCACTGACCTCAGGTGATTTGCCTGCCTTTGCCTCCCAAAGTGCAGGGATTACAGGCATGAGCCACTGCGCCCAGGCCATCTTTTTCATTTCTTTATTTTATTATTTACTTATTTATTTACTTTTGAGATGGGGTTTCGCTATGTTAGCCAAGCTGGTCTCGAACTGCTGACCTCAGGTGATCCTTCCACCTCAGCCTCCCAAAGTGCAGGGATTACAGGTGTGAGCTCCAGTGCCCGGGCCATCTTTTTTATTTCTATCCTCATTGTTACCACCATTCCTATCATCAGCACCACCACCAGAATGGACAGTCATTCATTCATCCACCCTGTCTGTTCTGAATATCTCCTTCATATTTGGAGATAATAAGAGTCCGTGGAGTGTGGGGGTGGGAAATACAACGAGGGAGAAGTAGGGAGGAAGAGAAGTGAAGGAGTTGCAGGCTGGGTGCGGTGGCTCCCGCCTGTAATCCCAGCACTTTGGGGAGCCGAAGTGGGTGGATCACTTGAGGTCAGGAGTTCAAGACCAGTCTGGCCAACATGGTGAAACCCTGCCTCTACTAAAAATACAAAAATTAGCTGGGCTTGGTGTCCAGTGCCTGTAATCTCAGCTACTCGGGATGCTAAGGCAGGAGAATCACTTGAACCTGGGAGGTGGAGGTTGCAGTGAGGCCGAGATTGCCTGGGCAACAGAGTAAGACTTCGTCTCAAAAAAAAAAGGGGCTGGACATGGTGGCTCATACCTGTAGTTCCAGCGCTTTGAGAGGCCAAGTTGGCCTATCACTTGAGGCCAGGAGTTTGAGACCAGCCTGGTCAACGTGGTAAAACCCCATCTCTACCAAAAAAATACAAAACATTGAACTGGGCTTGGTGGCTTGCGTCTGTAGTCCCAGCTGCTTGGGAGGCTGAGGCATAAGAACTGACTGAACCTGGGAGGTGGAGGCTTGCGGTAATTTGAGATACGCCACTGCACTCCAGCCTGGGCAACAGAGTGAGACTCTGTCTCAAAACAAAAGAAGTAATAAATAAATAGATAAGAAGTGAAGGAGTTGCCTGTGCAGATCGGGAGGTTGGGAAGAGCTTGCTAAGCAGGCCTGGACAAAGGCTTGAGGGAGGCCAGCACCTCCAGATGCAGCTGTGTGAGGGACAAGTGGTCCAGGCAGTGCCAACCACAGGTGCAAAGGCGCTGAGGTGGGGCAGAAGGAGACAGGCGGCTGGAGCTGGGTGAGGCGCTCAGGTCCTTGTGAGCCACCAGCAGGACGTGGAATTCCCTGTGAACGTGATGGAAGGCTGCAGGGCTCTGAGCAGGGAAGGGACGGGCAGGTTTCCTTGTAAAGGGACCCCTAGAGGGCGGCTCTGCAGATACTGTGCTCTGTAAAGGACAAGGGCACAATCAATCAGTCAGGTAGTGACTGCCGCCCCCTTGACTGTCACTGGCCCTTCTTCTTCCCAGGTCCGGAAGGTCCATTTCGACACCCAGGAGCATGGGCCTCAGGCCATCACAGGGCTGGAGCCCAGGGAAGTGCCCCTCCTCCACCAGCAGCAGGGCCAGGACTCGCTGGAGCAGGAGAACTTCCGATACGTGAGTGACAGTTGGCTAAGGGCTTTGGGGTGGGGCAGAGGAGCCACACCCACCACCTCCTCCCACCTCAAGACAGGCGTTGCACTGACTCACCCAAGAAGCCAACTCAGTATGGACGCAGGGCGCCCAGAAAGATGGGAGAGCAAAGGGTTCGACATTGGCTCTTTCCAAAACACCATCAATGTGGCTTCTCTCGATTTAATGCTGATGCTCTTCCCCTGCCTTCTTCCTCTCGCTCTTGGCCCCTCCTGTTCTGGGTCCCTCAGGACTCCCCATTCATTACCAGGAGTCTGGCATGCTGTGTGACGTGGTAGTCACAGTCACAGAGGCACTGTGCTCCTGTGCTGGAATTCCTGGCCTTGCCATGCTCCACCCCAGAGAGACCCCTGTGTCCAGGGTGTGTACTGGCCCATGCAGGCCTCCTCAGAGCACAGATAACCAACCCAGGCGCCCTTCCACTGCTGCCGCACGCCTTCGGGGCCCTGGTGGCTCGGTGCCCCCATTCCTGAGACCTCTGTGTTCCAGGGCCCACGCTTCATGACTTCGGAGTACAATTCCAAGTATCTGAGGGAGCCTCCAGACCAGCCAGGTAGGCCCTGTCTGAACTCACAGCTCCCTTCCAATCACCCTCCCTACTTCCCACCCCAAGGGGCCTGGAGCTGGCCTAGGACTAAGAAGGCACCAGTGGAAGAAAGAAGGACGCTCAGGCAGCTGGAGGGACGCGCCTCTCTGGGGCTGACCTCGATGCCTTGGGCTTCCCAGGAGGGCGGCTTGGCCAGCGCATGCCCTTCCTGCTGCTTCTTCTCCTGTCCTCGGGCCTGGACACTGGAATCCTCACCCTGCTGCCCACAATCCCCATGATGCACGTCTGCAGGATCTTGGGGTCCGCTCCCTCCCACCTGCTGGGACACTGAGCCTCCGGAGGACCCATGGGTGGGCCGGGTGGCCCGGCAGCACAGGGGGCGTGTCTTTTGCAGATCTGTTGCAGAAGAAATCAATCGGCGCCATGGAGGGGAGCAGCTTCACCAGAGAGTCCCACCAGAGCCCCGTTGTCTTCCAGCCCCCCTCACAGGCCCTCCCTGGGGACCCCGTAAGTCTGCTGGGGTCCAGCTAGAACTTTCAGGCGCTTGAAGCCCTTCAGTCTCAGGGTTTCTAGCTACCCTAAAGAATATGAGCTGCAGAGCCCTTTGCTCAAACACAAGGTGAGAGAGCTTAGGTGAAAACCACTGCTTTGGTCCCATTCCCCCATTTTATGGATGAGAAGACTGAGGTCCAAAGAGATGAAGAGGTGTAGCCGAGGTCATCCAGAGTTCAGACAAGAGCCCTGGCCTGCCGGCCCCCCTCAGGGTCATGCCATCCCAGTCTTCTCCCCAGACACTTCCCTTTTCTCAGTGATGCCCGTGAAAGCTGAGTCCTCCTCTGTGTTCAGCACAGCAGGGGCCTGGAGGCAGACTGGGTAGGAGCCTCCAGGGGCCTGACCTGCCTCTGCGGGGCTGACACCCTCTGTGGACCTCCTTCCAGGCCCTCCTCCCAGGCCAGAGTGTCACCAAGTCAAGCTTCCTCCCCAAGACTCACCTGCATGTAAGCTGAGCTAGGGGGAGGCTGGGGACTGCCTGGCGGAGGGGAGGGGGCAGTTAGGTCATGGCTCTGGAGGGCAGTAGGGGAGGCGGCCACATCCCGGTGCCAGAGGCTGCTTTGCTCCCTCCAGGGAGATGAGTTCCTACCCGTGCTGGCCAGAGGCTCCAGCCAGGAAACAGCCTTCAGCCGAGGGAATGAAAGGGTTCTGAACCCCAGAGTGAGTGACCTTGGTACCTCGCTTAGAGAAGGTGGGGGGCAGGGAGGTTTCTGGGACAAGGTGGCATTTTGGGTCAGGCATTGAAGAATGAGAAGCATTAGGATATTTGGGGATGTGGAAGTAGGGGCCCAGGTGGATGGCGAAGAGAGCCCGGGCCTTCCTGGGGGCTAGAAGGCCAGGGGTGTGGTCTGAAATAGACTTGGCTGGAAGGGGAAGGGAGGGTCTCTGGGGCTGCGGACAGGTTCCCTCCATCCCTGCTGCCTCAGCCTGGCCACCTCAGCCTCCCTTCTGCTGGTGGCTCTGTCCCCTGCAGGTGCCCCCTTCCCACCCAGAATCCAGCAGCCTGAGTCATCAGCAGTTTCAGCCACCCCATCGGATGCAACAGACAAATGTTGCCCTGCTTGGCAGGGAGACTGTGGGGAAAAAGGTGAGACCTGCTATATCCATCCTCTACCCCAAATCCCCACCCTTTCTGCCGTCACAAGTCCCCTGTCTACCCTTCTTGTGCAGGAGCCCACAGGGTTCAGCCTTAACAACCCAAGCTATGTCCGGAGCCCCCGCGATCCTGACAGGGATCATCGATTCCTGACCACCTACAACCAAGGGTGAGGTCTGCTTCCTGGTCCAAAGCTGAGACCCATCTGACAGACAGACAGACTGAGACTGGGATAAGTAATGAGCTCACAGCCTCCTGGATAAGGTCAACGCTGAACGAATGTGGCTTCCCCAGAAGTAGACCCTAAGCCAAGGGTTGGAGTGCAAGCATGTTATTAGGCGGTTATTAGTCATGTGGGGGTGGGGAAGTGGGATGGGGGTGGGAAGGCAGCAATAATGAGCATGTGACTAAGCCAGCGATCCCACGGGGAAAACTCTAGAAAACAGTGTAAAGCGCATAACTCAGAGTGACCCCAGCCAAAGATGAGAAAGGTCGGGTATTTATACCCCCGTATCCATCAGTCATTGGTTAAAGGCTATCCCCAGGGCAGCATTAAACCCCAGGTGCCTCCTTGTTCAGGCAAAGCAGGTTCTAGCAACCCAAGGGTAGCTTTCCCACAGAGATGCAGTACAGGGCATTGGTGGCCAGGCTGGTGGGCATGGAAAGAATGGGGGAGTGCAAGGGGGTCTGGAGCAGCAGCGTCTGCTAAGACACTCCATCCAGCCCATGGTCAGTGGGCTCGATGGGTCCTCAGAAGGTAAACTCTGTGCTGTGCATTCCCTGGGTGAGGAGTGACTGTCCTGGGCATCAGGGAGGGCTCCCAGGAGGAGGTGGCCTCAGAGCCATGGGGAAGCCTCCCAGGGCCAAGACTCGGTGGGGAGAGCATTATAGGAGTGTTATAAAGGAAGTGTGATTCTTTTTTTGTTTTTTGTTTTTGTTTTGAGTACAATGGTGTGATCTCAGCTCACTGCAACCTCTGCCTCCTGGGTTCAAGCGATCCTCCTGTCTTAGCCTGCTAAGTAGCTGGGATTACAGGAGCCTGCCACCACTCTCAGCTAAATTTTATATTTTTAGTAGAGACGGGCTTTCACCATCTTGGCCAGGCTGGTCTTGAACTTCTGACCTTAAGTGATCTGTCCGCCTTGGCCTCCCAGAGTGCTGGGATCACAGGCATGAACCACTGCGCCCCGCCAGGAAGTATAATTCTTAGGACAAACTCCTCTGAGCCAGGAAGTGCAAGCTTTCCTGTCTGTGTCCCTCTTCCCCTCCAATTCCTGGTCCTTCAAGGTGTCCCCACCACCTCCCTGTCTCCTCAGGCTCCCTCTGCCCCAACCCCCTGCTCGGGGATACGCACGAAATCCATTCATGGAACAGACTTCAACTGAGCCCTGACTGGGTGCCAGGCCCTGCCCCAGGCCCTGGGAATGTGTGTGCAACTCCTGGCCCACAGAGCTCAGACCTCAGCATGGGAGGAGGCGTGCCTGTGGCTGCCGTCAGCGAGAGCTGTTAGGCGATGGGCAGGGAGAAGGGGATCAGGAGGGCTGCAGTGGGCGAGGGTCAGATTTGAAATCGGTGGCCTTGAGCAGGTGACTTTTGAGCTGAGACTGAAAAGAGGGGAGGGCAGTGGCCTGGAGGAGCAATAGTGTGACCTGGAAGGGCCGTTGGTTGTCCTCTGTCCTCTGGCCTAAACCCTGAGGCTCAGAGGGGAGGAGCTGTGCTTCAGTCGCACAGCAGATTCGCAGTGCTGAGATGGCTGCTGCAGTTCCCACGGAGGCGGGTGGTGGCGGCGGGGGTGGGGTGGGGGGTGGGGGCGGGTCGAGGGAGGCCCAGAGGCTCTGGGTGTGAGGGGTAATGATGTTCTGACCCTTCTTAGGCAAACATCCTCCTCCTGTGGCTCTGGCAGAGACCAGCCCCCGGCCCTCTCTGCTGGGTTCCTCCCGGCTGCCCGCCGTGCCCTGGGCTACTACTGCCCGGTGTCAGGCACACTTGCTGGAGCTTCCTGCTGCCTGCAGAGCCCTGGGGTTGTTTGTCATCACTGATTCCTGCATTGATCTGTCTGAACCCCTTTGTGCCCTCCGAACCTGGCTGTGCTCAGTGAAATGGAGGGAAATGGAAATGAAATGGAAGAAGTGTTAAATGCTTAGAGAAATGGATGAGACGGGGTCCGCACCCCAAGGTGCTGGCAGGCCAGGGACAGGCCAAAGACGGGGGTGTCACTGAAACTGTCCTTTTACACTCCCAAGAGTGTCTCAGCATCAGGTGGAGGGGAGGGCAGGCTTTTTGAGTAAGAGTTCCCCAAGTGGACGTGGGCTTAGGGAGAGCGAGATGAAGAGGACAGCATGACAAAGGCGGGAGGCTGGGGGGATCTGTGGGCCGACGGACAAACGTAGGAGGGGCTGCAGAGGTGAGCAGAGGCCAGCTTCCAGCCAAGGGCCCCTCTTCTCCTCCAGGTACTTTGAGAACGTCCCCAAGGGTCTCGACCGGGAAGGCTGGACTCGAGGTGGCATCCAGCCCCAGACGCCGGGAGGCTATGCCCTCAGCCAGCCGGTCAGCCGAACGGAGGCCACCCCCAAGCCCACGGAGAGCCTGCAGCACCTGCACCCCCACGTGGGAAGGTGGCACTCCCCCAAGCTCTGTTCTTTCTCCCTCCTCCTCATCCAGGCCTTTCCCCTGCCCTCCTCTCTTGCTCTGTCTGTCTGTCAGTCTGTCCTCTGAGAGGTCCATCTCCTCTGGCTGGCTCTGGCCTCCCTTTTCCTGCCAGCACCAGCTCCTCCCCTCCTCTTCCTCCAGGGACCCCTCCCCTCCTCGTGGCTGCTCCTCCCATTCCTGCCCCTGTGCTCCAGGCCGGGTGGGCTGCCCGGGGAGGGGAGATGGATCCAGAGATGAATGGACTGTGGTTCCACCTCACCCGGCTCCTTCCTGCGCAATTCAGTTCCTCAGAAATTACATTTATACCAACAATGGCCTGGAGTTGGCAGGCGAAGAACGTTTGTGGCTTGGCTGCCCTGGCTGAGCCCTGACTGTGCTCTCTCAGGGAGGGTCAGGCAGAAGACAAGAAGGCAAGGGCCAGGCCCTGCCTGCCAATGCCCTCAACACTCTCCTCCTGCCTCCTGCAGAACCCTGGCCTCAGTCGACCCCTTCTACCGAGCCACACCTCCCAGCAGCCGCTTCGTGGCACCCAGCTGAGCCCTGAGCCATTGGTAAGGGGCTGGGGACCCCCTCCCTCAGCTGCTTCCAGTGTGGGGGTGACCACTGGGGGTCAGCCCTGCCTCCCAAGCCCTGGGTTAAGCAAGTCCTGCCTGGGGACCCCTCTCTGAGTAGGGGGTGGGAGATTGGGGGCCTCTCGGACCCTCTTCTATCCCAGGCAAGCACGCGGAACCACCCCAGAGGGCCCTTCAGGCCTCGCCTCTGCTTCTCCCCCACAGGTTTGTCAGCTCTAGGGGACAGAAGCCAGCCAGGCTACTGGCTGTACCCCCACTCCATCCCCCACACGGACCTCCCCAAGCTACTCTCCTAATGAAATAAAGAGCATTGAAGCAGAGACGTCAGGGTGGCTGGGACAAGGAGGGCTGAGCTGGGCAGGGGTGGAGGAGCTGGGGCCAGATTTGGAGTCGGAAGGGCTCAGCTGGCATCTCTGAGGAACCATGACATGATGAACCCAGCATTTGATCCTCCAGGCTCAGTTTCCTGTCCTGTAAAGGGGTCCTCTATGGCCCGTGCTATTTGGGAAAGTACTTGGTCACATGTGGGTGGAAGAACCCCAGGGAGGGGCAGGTGGGCCAGAGAAGCGGAGGGAAGCAGAGGCAGGGCGAGGGGACAGAGGAGGGTCTCGGACACATGGACACCTGGGCTCCGACCCAGAGCAGGGAGGGGCTGATCACAAAGGCTGGTTCCACTTTCCCTCCCAGCCAGGGTGACCAGAGCAGGGTAGCCTGTTTGTGAGAATGAGAACAGGCAGCCCTCAGGCAGATGCCCCAGGTGCCTGCAAGACAGCATCCAGGCCAGCTCTGAGCACCTCTTGTCACCTCAACCAAGCGCATTTATGCAGTGCACAGCTGTATGCTGCGGCCTGCTTGCACCAGCTCCTTAGAAATGAGGAGTGTGGACCCAGAGAGTGTGCGTGAGCTGCTCAGGGTCACACAGGGCAGAAAGGCAGCAGCGGTGCTGGGTTGGGGATGTCCCCTGTGCCTTGCAGCCTTGTCTGGGCACGCAGGCACTCCTCCAACCCCCTGCCTCCGCCTGTCTTCCTTGGGGGGGTCTGTGGAGCGTGCTGCTGGCCCCAGAGCCTGGTGTACCCAGCGCAGTCTTGAACGGCAGGCCCGGGGGCTGTCCGCAGCCTGGCTGGGGCTCCATGTGGGCTGTGGGTGGCTCCAGCTGGTCCCAGCATGGGAGGAGGGGAGCAGAGGACACAGAGTCTCCGAGACAGACTCAGGACACAGTGACAGCCCAGACTGTGGGTGGCGACCTGCTAGTCCATGCCCCAGCATTAGGGTGATTCACCAAAGGGACTGGGCTGGGCCCTAGCCATGGCCAGAGTAAGGTGGAGAGTGAGTGAGTGTGGGATCCGCCAGCCCCTCCCTGCCCAAAGACACACACACACACACTCAACACAAAACCACATGCAAGGCAGGGCGTGGTGGCTCACGCCTGTGATTCAGCACTTTGGGAAGCCAAGGTGAGCAGATAACTTGAGGACAGGAGTTCGAGACCATCCTGGCCAGTATGGTGAAACCCCGTCTCTACTAAAAATACAAAAAATTAGCCGGGCATGGTGGCAGGTACCTGTATTCCCAGCTACTCTGGAGGCTGAGACAGGTGAATCGCTTGAATCCAGGGGGCAGAGGTTTCGGTGAGCTGAGATCCTACCATAGCACTCAGCCTGGGTGGCAGAGCAAGATTTCATTGGAAAAAAAAAAAAAAAACCACTGCCTGGCGCTGTGGCTCATGCCCATAATCCCAGCACTTTGGGAGGCCGAGGCGGGTGGATCATGAGGTCAAGAGATCGAGACCATCCTGGTCAACATGGTGAAACCCCATCTCTCCTAAAAATACAAAATTTAGCTGGGCATGGTGGTGCACGCCTGTAGTCCCAGCTACTCGGGAGGCTGAGGCAGGAGAATTGCCTGAACCCAGGAGGTGAAGGTTGCGGTGAGCCGAGATTGCACCATTGCACTCCAGCCTGGGTAACAAGAGCGAAACTCCATCTCAAAAAAAAAAAAAAACAACAAACAACGAAAACAAAAAGCACATGTGAATACAAGCATATGTGTGTGTGCAGACCCCGAAAGCACCCCCCCACACACACACGTCTAGGCACATAAATGCCAACAGAAGTACACAAACTAACACGACCACACACAGAAACAGAAACTAATGTGCACAAACACACAGCTTCACATAAACACCCAAGACTCTCCCGCACGCAGACACACGCACGGCCAGCCTATACCACTGCTCTAGTTTGAGCGTCTGTCCCCCCCAGTCTCCTGTTGCGCTGGAACCCCCATGCTGGAGGTGGGGCCTGCTGGGAGGTGCCTGGATCATGGGAGTGGATCCCTCGTGGTTTGGTTCCATCCTCACTACAGTGAGTGAGTTCTTGTGAGATTTGGTTGTTAAAAAGTGTGTGTCACCCCCCACCCCTTGCTCCTGCTCCTGCATGTGAAATACCTGTTCCTGGCCGGCACAGTGGCTCACGTCTGTAATCCCAGCAAGTTGGGAGGCCAAGGCGGGTGGGTCAATTGAGATCAGGAGTTCAAGACCAGCCTGACCAACATGGTGAAACCCCGTCCGTACTCAGAATGCAAAATATTAGCTGAGCATGGTGGCAGACGCCTGTAGTCAGCTACTCAGGGGGCTGAGGCACAAGAGTTGCTTGAACCTGGGAGGCAGAGGTTGCAGTGAGCAGAGATTGCACCACAGCACTCCAGCCTGGGTGACAGAGTAAGACTCCATTTCAAAAGAAAAAGAAAGAAATGCCTGTTCCCCCTACATGGTGGAAGCTTCCTGAGGCCTCCCCATGTAATATCCCAGCAAGTTAGAAGGAATGTGCCACACACTGAGTTTCAAATTAAGAGTCTTTTTAATTAGCCAGCAACCGAGAGACAGCTAACGCTCAAACTTCTCTCGGCCGGAAGAAAGGGCTTGACTTCCCTTTATACCTTGATTTAGGTAGGAGAGGGGAGGAGGAGCCTAGCTGAAGCAGAATTTTACAGAAGCAGAACAGGCAAGTTAGCTAGTAACCAGGGGGGATGAGGTTCCCAGGACTGCTGGTTGCTAAGGGTATTTCCAAACAATCCCCAACGGGGGTTCAGAGAGAGTAATACACAATAGCAGGTGTGCCTGCCGAGCAGGACGAAGTTACATTGGTTATATGGTGGGATAAGCACAGCGTCAGTGTGGCCCAGTTATGCACCCAGAGGGGCTGTGATAGGGATGGGGAAGCTAGGTTGGAGCTTACAGCTAAGATGGAGTCAGTGATGCTAGCCCAGGGTAGGTTATTGCACCCAGAAGCAGATGCTGGTGCTATACTTCCTATACAACCTGCAGAGCTGTGAGCCAATTAAACCTTTTTTCTTAGAAATTACCAAGTCCCGGGTACTTCGAGAATAATCCCAAGCATCTAGACCAGGAAGGCTAGACTCGAGGTGGCATTCAGCCCCAGATGCCTGGAGGCTACGCCCTCAGCCAGCTGGTCTCAGGGTTGCTGTTTGTTTTTGAGACAGGGTCTCCCCTCTGTCACCCAGGCTGGAGTGCAGTGGTGCGACCACGGCTCTCTGCAGCCTCAACCCCCTGGGCTCAAGTGACCCTCTCATCTCAGCCTCCTGAGTATCCGCGTCTACAGGTGCACACCATCAGGCCCAACTAATTTTTCCCATTTGTTGTAAAGATGGGGTCTTGCTATGTTGCCAAGGCTGGTCTCAGACTCCTGGGCTCAAGCGAGCCTCCCACCTCAGCCTCCCAAGGTGCTGAGATTAAAGACATGAGCCACCATGCTGGACACAGACACAAAAACAGATGTACAGAGACTTAAAGAACAGACACACACAACACACACACACACACACACACTGCACACACACACCACACCTCATCTCTATTTCACGTCTTCATTTCTTCTCCTCCGAGTATCCTTTTACAGCTCATGTTTCCTGCCCATCCTTCCTCTGCCTGGGGGGTGGGGGGATATGGTGCCGGGGACACCGGAGCCTGATCACACCCTTTTTCCATCGTCTCCCACCTCCCTCATCCTGCACCAGGTAGCAGCTTGACCAGGGCAGGGGGAGAAACCATGAGGCACTGCAGCGGAGAGGGCAGGCTGGTCAGATTTTGGGGGGTCTTGAAGGCCATGCTAAGGAGCCCCCCTCAATTATGAGGCCCAACAAAGGGACAGACCATGTAAGCCTTCTTCACATGGAAAGTCCAAAGCCCAGGACAGTGCCTGGCACCTATGGAGGTGCTCAGTAAATAGCAGATGGATGAATGAATGAATGAATGAATGGCTATGGCAGATGTGGGCTTCTGGGCATCACCCACCTTAACACCAGGATGTCAGTGGCCCAGCCTCCCTGAGTCTGTGTGGTCAGCTCCTGCTTTCCACCCCCACCTAGCCAGCTGCCATGGCTGTGGCCCTTAGGGACCACTGCTTTCCCCTAGGATGCACCGTTCCTCTCTGTGTGAGCCCCTTTGTCTCCCCTTGCACGGAGCCCAGCCTGTAACCAGCCTCATGAAGCTTCCCTGCAGTGCCCTAAGGGCCTCTACATTCCAGCCTTGGCCCCTGGTAGGCACCAAGACCAGGGTAGAGTCAGTGCTGGGAAATTCCCTGTGTCCCCAGGACAGGAGGAGGGACACTTTGCCATCCCTGTTGAAGGGACATCCTGCTGTGTGGCTTCCTTCTCCTGCTCTGTGCTGTCAGCGGAGAGTGGGAGAGTCCCAGTCTCTCAGCATCAGAGTTTGGAAGACACGTGAGGCAGTTAGCCCCTAAGGGATGGCCCGGAGGAGCAGGCCAGGAGCACTGACCATGTGGCTTCATTTTCAGTGGCCTCATTCCCTTTGCTCCCAGACAGCATCAGCCAGAGCTCTTTCCCCTCCAGGCCCAGGCAGTCAGCAGACATACCTGTCACAGGCCTGAGCCCTGGAATCCGACTGCCTGGGTTCAAATGCCAGCTCTCCACAACCCAAGGCAGCTCCCTGCCATCAGCCGGTCACCTAAGCCTTCTGTGACCTCCAGTTGTCACCTACCCATTCTGAGCTTCAGCTAATAGCAGCAGCTGCTTTCTGGAAGAAATCCAACATGCACAGAGTACACACAAAGAGAAGCTGCCGATGCTAGGGCAGAGGAAACAGAGGCCGAGATGGAGGTAGAGAGCTGGTCAAGGCCACACTGCAGCTCGTCACAGGGTCTGGCCTCTGTCTCCTGCTTGGCCCTGGGTGGGCCCCCTCAAGACCTTTCCCTGAAGCTGAGCTAGGAGGCTGATGCCTGTAATCACAGCACTTTGGGAGGCTGAGGCTGGAGGATCACTTGAGTTCAGGAGTTCGGGACCA